AAATTTTACCCAATTATCTTTAAACGTTTAGAAAATATTTACAAAAGTGTGGTATCAGGACTTCACCTTTAACACCCTGTATCTCGGAAAAGAAACGTTTTCGGACCTATGTTTATATGAACTTTTACTACTATTTTAGGATGTACATTAAGCTGTTAAAATATGACCGTCTAATTTTGGGACACCCTGTATATTATCTATAACTATCAATAAATAAAACATATTTGATTAATTTACAAGTTTGCGAACAGCGAAACTTTCTTGTCAACAGTATTTTGATCAAAAATAAAAAAACCTGTATTGAACAATCCTACTTGAATATTTTTTAATTCACCTTTTTTTTATTTTTGATCAAAATATTGTTGCTAAAAAATTTTTATTGTTCGCAAAACTTGTTAATTATTTTTTTTTTTTGACAAACATTTGCCTCTCAAGATTACTAGGACAACTAAAGGAGACAATGAGCGCGAGTGATTCAAGCGTTGCAGTGCCCACTCACTATTTTCTATTTAATAAATAAAATAAAATTAAAATTAATGAGATTTTTTATTCTACGTATATTTTAGAATGTCTAAAATAATTTCTGTGAAATGTAGAATAGATATTTGCATATTTTTGGCAGTTTTGCAGCTGTACAGTATTTATGCACCTGCCGACATGACTGAATTAGTCTGAAAGACCCTGTATATTTTTCATTTGTTTATTTGAGGCGTGATCGATATTTTCTTTCATAGCTAACCCCGATTTAAAAAGGAAACGAACGACTTAATCTCTTTTTATAGCTTGTATTAGTTTATAATGTATACTCTTGCCTACCAAAATAAATTTATCGATACTTTTTATAAATACGTTCAACGGAACGCAGTGTTAAAGTTAAATAGACAAAATTTACAAAACAACATAAATTATTCAAACACACACACTTATTTGTTTCTATGGATAAAAATTTTAATTGCCTATTTAATGGATTTTCGTTTAGGTACCTACAGGTACTTATTAAACGGTTTATCTGAACAAAATAGATAAAAAATTACCCACCTAGTCTAAAAGTTTTCATTTTTATATTTGTACCCTGTCGATAAATACTTCTAATGAACCAATTTTCGATAAGCTTTTAAACATATATTTACCATACAGAAACAGTTTAAAATGTGAACAAAGAAATTATGTTACTATTTACTTTCGTAAAATTTAATGTAGAAAGTCGCAAAAACATACTGACACACTTTAAGGAATGATAAGGGACATAAAAACACTTTTTAAAAAGAACCAAGAGAGGTTAATGGTTAACTTTTTTTGTTTAATAAACTTATTGTGTCCGCAAATGAGTCGTTAGGCTGTAGATAATTTAAATATTGTAAAGAAAGAGAAGCTGCACGCTTGTATAAACAAACATATCCGGAGCGCCTACTACCTCATCATACAACCATTGCTTCCATCCATCATCGTTTTAGAGAAAGGAGGAACCATGGAGGAAGGATTATTAAGAGTTGTCGTTTCTTTGTAGAAATTTGGCAACATGTTTGCTTGCAGCGACCTGTGGAGGGGGGTGGGAGTTGTAGAACTAATCCTACTCTGTCGGTAATGTAGTTACCAGCAGTATTACCATAAACTCTTACTCTGTCGGTAATGCAGTTACCCCGTAATATTATATTTAATTTGAAAATTGGCGGGTTTTTTAAAGGAGGATTTACTTTTGCAATTATTTTCCAACTAATACGAAATATAGCCATACAAAATTTATGTAGCAATTTTTTAATTTTTAGTAAAATAAAAAACATATACGTGTAGCTAAAATATGTTCCTCTAGGGCTACTTTTTCAAAATTTAATAAACTTTTGATGACAATAAATCGCAAAATTTTGTTATTATAAAGATTTTAAAAATTGAGAAAATAATTAAATCAAATTTCGGAATACTGGCTCCAGAAAAACGCACATTTTACTTTTACCTGAAGGTTCATATTTTACATTCACTAAAAAGTAAAATTGAACTAAAAAAATATGTATGGCTCTATTTTGTATTGTTTGGACAAAGATAATTGCTTGAGTAAATTTTCCTCTTAATTATAATTAAAATTTTGTTTTTTTAATAGCTGTTTGTAACAATTATGAAATGCCAATAAAAATGTAAAATTCTATGACAAATAATTATGAGGAATAAAATAAATATCATACAAAGTTTTATATTTACTGAAAATATTCAAGAAAAATAAATAAAAAATATATCAAAGAGATGGCAATACAAAAAATTATTTTTCATGCACTTCGTCCCCATACAAGCATAGCTTATGCGAAGCAAGAATGGCTATTATTATTATTATTATTATTATTATTTATTATGGCACTCCCGGACGTCTTATAAATACCTCTTTAAGAAAGTTACTCTAATATCACAAACATTACATTACTATTTCGGTACGTTAACTATCTTTGGCTAACAAAAATCAGAAATTTTTAAAATAAACAAAAAACAAAACAACAAATTCTTCTTGAATCTTAGGAAATAAGACAAAAGCAACCATCTATATAAACTGAAACAGAAAAAATTAAATGCAGTAACTTCAAATCATTTTGTTTCTTTTAGACAATGTCGTAGCCCTCATACTATCATTATAATACTTTCTTATTATTAATGGTAGACATGTTTTAACTACATGAAAAAAGACGTCTGTTTTATATTCTTTACATGTAAACCAGAGACGGATTGTGGCTTAGTCTGCGATGGGGCTGGCGCACCCTATATACTTTATACAAATATATATTTCTATTAGAATACAATGTAATATTTCTGCTTTTTGTATTCTTATGGACATATACTTTTATTAAGTATATAGAGTGTGCCTTTTAAAAGTAGTCTCCTCATAGACTAGGCCACGAGTAAACCATTTAAAATCAACATGATCTGGCAAAAAAAAGTTTAATTTTTTGAATTATGTTGTCAATATGACCCAAAAGTGGTAAAACTATTTCATGAATTTTTGAAAGAAATTCAATAACATTTCTTTGTACATAAATAAAACGTCTTTTATCATCATTTTCTTTAAAATAAGTAAAAGTATCGATGGTCTTCTAACATGTCTGTAAATTAACTTTACATTCTTTACAGTCAAAACTATTAAGTTTCTTAATAAACCCTGCAACATAACTAGTGGCCTGACTCAAATTCTGCTTCATTTATTAATTTTGTATATATTATTAAAATGAACTTTATCTTCACAGGACTCTGTTTGGAGATGTGATAACAATATTACTAAGTACTACTATCTTTGATGTATCTGGTTTTGAGGAAGCTAAAGCAAGGCAAAGCAAATCTTTTGGCAGTCTTGAACGATTTGTGTTTGTAAAGGATTTTGTATCAAAATATGATTTTCACATAATGTATAATGATTGGTTGTAAGTGGAATGAGTGGAATGTTTAAAATACGACACCATTCCTTTCTTTGATCAATATCAGAAGGAAATTTGTTTGTTCTTAAAATTTACGTTTGAAATGGGCTTTATAAAATGTACTACAACAATTAGAAATTATGCGTTTATAATGAACTCTGCCTGGTAAAGACATGTTAAAGCATCAAAATACCTCTAATTGATTTTAAATAATCCTAAATAACATATCTAAAAAAATAAATAAAAGTAGTTCCACTTACATGTTTTCGTCGACAACCAAAACCATAACATAACCACATATTTGTTTGATTTTGATATTATTTGAGGACAGCGCGCGCGGGGCCCGCTATAGCGGGCAGCCAGAAGTCATGCAGCAGACAGAAAGCCATCTTCACATAGTACAAATAACTAAGTGAAGGCATGTTTTTTTTTAATTTGTTGTAATATATGAATTAAACTTTTTGAAACAACACTTTTTGTGTGTTACTGAACGAGATGTTATTAAATTATTCAATGTGCTTTACATTTTAATACAATTTTGCTATTGTAAAACGGACTTTAGAGCACCCAAGCGCGGAGTCGCATGCGCAGAAACGTGTTTACGTATTGTGCATATGATATAAACCCCCGTGGGAGGAACCTAAAGCGTTTTGTCCAAGAACAGCTCATACGGTTGAATTTTAAAAAAAGAGTTACACCGTATGGAGGAAAATCAATCCACAAGTGTTAGCGCAACTGCACAACATACGGGATCTTCCAAATCGACGGTATAGTGTGTCCTGCATAAACTACTCCTCTACCATGTCCCATTTATATCTCGTACATGCTTTAAATCCTGACTGTTATCCACATTGATTAGTTTTTTGCCAATAGATTTTGTATCAAAATTTAAAAGACCCTCACAAAAAAAATATTGTTTAATAATGAGGAATGTTTCAAGCGATAAGGTTATTTTAATAGTAGAAATACCACATTTGGTATGATAAAAACCCGCATGATATGGTTTTTAGAAAACACCCGCAAAAGTTTTCTGTGAACTTGTCAGCTGGTATTGCTGGAAAAATCTAATCACTTGCTGCCTGCTCGTCTAAACGCAGATATTTGTTTTGATTTTCTGAAAAATGTTTGGCCTCTATTATTAAAAAAAAGCACATTGTGGGATATAAGAAGTAATATGTGGTTTCATCACGACGAGGCACATTTTGCTCTGAAGTATTTGGACCAGCGATTTGCTTGCCGATGGATTGGAAGAGGGGGGGTCCGCATCATATCCCGTGCGTTTTCCAGAACTCAACCGCTTTGGGGTTATCTAAACGCCTATTCGTAATCAGGAAGATCTCTTAGCAAGAATAATGGCAATGAAGAAGCTCTTCTAGGACTATTCCATAGTCCCCTATCGCCCCTTAGTTTGTCCGTATATTTTTGAGATAACTTGTATAGTATCAAAATAGAGTAAAATATTAAATAAGTATTTCGAGTGCCTGAATTAATAAAGGTAAAGAGTAAATTCATTAGTATATGATTAGTTACGCAGAGTGTTGATGTATGAAGGAGATTTTGCATATTAAGTTGTGGGTCAAATTTTTAAATAATTTTTTTTTAATTTGTTAGATAATGGATGACGACATTTCGACTCGCTTAGAAGACGAATCACTGCACAAAAAACTGTTAGACGACGATGAAAACCAATCGCATCCCGAGGGTGACAAAGGCCAACACAATTCCATGGAAAAACTCGGTACAGATCCGAATTTCAAAAGAAAAATAGTATGGAAGAATGCTATAGGCTTCCTAGTATTACACTTAGCAGCATTCTACGGGCTGTACTTAGTTTTAACGTTTAGAATAAAAATTTTAACGTACCTTTGGGGTAAGTAATTTGACTGTCGTGTTGGCATAGAATATACAGTTATCTCGGGAAATTAACTTAGTCACCAATACTTTTCAAATTTTAAAAATTATATCGTTTGGAGATAATAGTCTTTCTTTCGTTGCCTCCATATTTAATGAGTTTGATGTTAATTCCATCTTTGACCGGTGATTATCCATTTGTATTATTCCCTAGTGACCTTTGCCATTTATTCACTTATTGGATCAGCTATTATGTCCATTTCTTATGTTTCCTCTTCCTCTATCACCTCTTCTTCCGCCAAGTGGGATTATAGATCTTTGAAGTAATCTATCTACACCTGATTTAATTCTTCATCTTCATCATACTTCCACCTTCTTCTTTTATATTTTTAATTCCTTTGGTTTTGCCTTTGCAGATTTTAATCTATTCTTTAATTTTCCTGTTAGAATCTTTCATATTTCTCTCACTTTTTTCTTGTTTAACTATTTTAATTTTATTATCTATCCATCCTGTTTTACTCTTTCTTATAGTTTTTTGGTTTGTTTTCTCAATTCTTCATAAGTCATTTCATCTTCTATTTAATTTATTTCAACCACCTGATTCTTTTTTTGTTGTTGCTTCACTAAATTTTTCACTGTATCATTATTTTCTTACTCTTTTCCATTCTACCCCAATATTTTTTCTGCTACTAATTCTATGCTTTGTCTAATGACTTTCCATTCAGATTCCATTTTGTTTTCATTACTTTTTGTAAATTAATTCTGCAATGCTTTTTAATATATGTTGCATTTCTTTTGATGCCCTAAATCAGCGGGCGTAATTTGGGCACCAGTTTTGGGAGTTTACTTGCTTACTCTTTAAGTCATAAATTAAAATAAAATAATGCAGGTAGGCTAGTGTTCAGTTTACATCCGCTCCATTAAATCTGAATAGCTAATTTCAGCAAGGACGCTCCTTCTCGGGCTAGCAAATCAAGCTCTTCATTTCCGTTGTATAATCTGAGGCCTGGTACCCAGGCTGAGGTTAATCAATTTTAACTAACAAGGTCTATTAGGACTTCCAGTGTCACACAAGCTTTGAGCGTATCTGCATAGAACTAAGTGGTTTTAACGTTTCTTAACCTTTTGGCTCACTAATGCATTCTGTCGAAGGTTCATTGGACATCAGAGAAATAATTGAGGATTTAAGTGAATCTCATCCCAAGTCCACTTCATTTTGTTTGATATGCGTAACTCCCAGGATGTCTACGTTTACGTTTAGGAAATTTCACGAGTGTGAATGTTTAAAACCGGTTATTTTCTTTGGATTAGCACTATATACCTACTCCAGCTTCTTTACTTGATTACTGTTACTTCCTCCTCTATACTCGACTCGTCAACGATGTTCAAAACTAATACCTGGTGCATCCTTGCATCTCAGTTTACTACACATGTCCTTACTTTTATAGTTCTCATTTTTCGTAAACATCTCCATCAGCCCTATAGACTTCGTTAGATAAGAGATTTCAATTCTTTTTAAAAAATTCGTATCTATTTTAATTTAATCTCAATAAAATCAATTAACTAAAAGACAATAGACGGAAATGTTACCACGAATGTTTAAATTAAAATTAAAATTTCGGGTGTCATTGTTTCAAAGGTTAAAAACAAGTGAACGATGATTTTTTAACTTTTCATTTGACAGAAAAGGGCGATATTATACAGGGTATATAAAAAAGTTTCGAGACATCTCATCTCGGTAGCCGAATATGTCTAACGGTCATGTATTCAATGACACATGAGTGGAACACAATACTTTGTCAACGACCGACAATTAATTTGTTTAATATGTGTATCGCTTAAATTGATAGAATATGAGTTTCTTACATTTCTGTTTCTGATTTTATTTTAGCCGTCTCTCACACACTAAAAACAATTTATTCAAAATGTTTTTCATTGTCCGAGGCGCAAGCAGATCTTGAGGACGCATTATTTTATTGTTTTTTACATTTATTATATGTTTTTTTAATTTTTAGTTATGTTCCTTGATTTGGCATCTGGAGAAGGAATTACAATGGGAGCCCACCGACTTTTTTCACATAAATCATTTAAGGCTACTTTTTCTTTAAAGCTAATATTAGTCCTGCTACACACCATTGCTGGACAAGTAAGTATAATATATTTTATTTTTCTGTATAAATAAATTATACAAGCTACTGTTTTCCTTTGGAAAACAACTAAACCTACCGCAACAGGTATTAAATTATTATATCCAATGGAAAGACAGCAGATATATAAGTTTAATTTCAACACTCTACCTTTGGAGAACGTCATTATTGAACCGGTCTTTCCACTGGATGTAATTCAATACCTGTTGCAGTCTTAGCCCAAGGAGTAGTTGTTGTCAGAAGGGAAATGGTCGTTCTTAGTTGATACCAGTGGTAACACTAATAATAATTGTATCTTCATCTTTGTCGGTTATAAGCATTTGGGTTTTTAAATTCCCCACAGGGTTTATTGGATCTTTTGCTAGTCTGCATCCTTCAGTTGTATTTTCAATTTTTTGACAGAATGTTCTCCGTGAATCCCTCTTAGATTTCCTAAGAGTTCTGTTATACTCTGTGAGTGTTTCGATGTATTCCCCCCATTCATTTGTCTTTTTAGCCTTATTACAAAGTTTACGTGTTTTCCTTCTGAGTTAAGCGAGTTCGGTGTTCCACCAGCTCACCTCCCTAGAAGTTTTCCTGTTCTTTAACGAGCAGTTATTGTGATATGATGTTATGATTGCGTCTCGTAGTTGTTCTGCAACTTCATCTATATCAATTTAGTATTAAGAGTTATTTTAATGGTTTTTAACACTGTCCTAAGCTCTACCCGACCCCGTATCCAACAATCGGTTTTATGTGGGTCTCGGTATACAGGGTGGCTCACGTTCAACGGGACGGAGCTTTATGGGAAAACGACCAAAGATATAAAAAATTCGTTTGGGAGGAATACGTAGGTTACAGACGGCTACAATTTAAAATTTGTTAGATGTATACAGGATGTCCCACATAAGAGAAAATATACAAAGTTATATTATTTTTAATGGAACACCCTGTTTTTTAATTTAGAATTAAAAACTACATCAAAAATAATGTCAGTTAACTAAAGGTTCCCTATTACTATTATTATTAGTTTTCGATTTATTTGAATTTTTAAGGAAAAAAAGTCTCCCAGAAATTAATTATTGTTTACTCTTGTTTGAATAATTTTTAATGAACTTATTTTTTTTTTCTTATGTGGGACATCCTGTATACATCTAACAAATTTTAAATTGTAGCCATCTGTAACCTACGTATTCCTCCCAAACGAATTTTTGATATCTTTGGTCGTTTTCCCATAAAGCTCCGTCCCGTTGAGCGTGAGCCACCCTGTATATCTCCTGGTTTATTGACGTTGTCGATTTCCATGAGAATATGCCGATGATCTGAGAGCGAAGGCTCTCTAGACACGACCACCTGCCAATGTGATTTGAAACGAAGGAAGAATCAAGGGTAATATCAATAACCTCGCTCCGTCTACTGGTAAGAAAAGTAGGTTCATTTCCACGATTCAATATTTCCAGGTTAGTGGTTAGAATGAATTCAAGTAAAGACTCACCTCAAAAAGTGTCCCCTAAAATGTATAAAACGATATTCACTATTGTCGTCTATTTCGCTTTTCACGATGACTTTTCATGATGTAGTTGCGTCTCCTTCCTTATTTTACCTCCATGCTTCATAATGTTCATAATCATTGACCCTGTCAAATCACCAGGCCCACAGGTTTGCCATATCATAACCTGTCATTACCCACGGGAACCATTTTGTTTGGGAATACCTAATAGCAGGGACAGAAGTTTTTGCCAGTTCTCCCACTTCATACACAGAATTTGACTGTTTTGCAGCGCAGCTAATTGAAGTGAATTTGAAACATTGGCGTAGAAAATTATTTTATAAATGCTAATAACAATTTTGCGCAAATAGTTCAATAAATTGTGAATAGCTAGTGAAATTTTGTAGAAATACGATTTAGAATAATTATTTGTAGCCCATAAATAGATACTTTTGCCCGATTCCGCCAATAATAATTCAAAATGTTTGTTATTATTATACGACAATGTTGAACAAACATTACCGCGAAATTCTCGAAGTCCTACGACGCGATTAGACATTTACTACCTCTCTACTTACCAAAAGCCTTTCCAACTTCTGTCCTTTCTACAAAGCACCATCTTATTTAGAACTGCATGTACATATGGGTAAGAGACCACAGACAGCATCACAAATTCAGCGATACAGACGCCGATCCACATAACGCTACTAGAGGATTTTTCTTCTCTCACATGGGATGGCTTATGAGTAGAAAACATCCATTGGTTATAGAAAAAGGAAAGACCCTAGATATGTCAGATTTGGAGGCCGATCCTCTGATCATGTGGCAAAAAAAGTAAGTCAGTAGACAAATCTGTTTTATTTTTCTCGAACAGTAAAGTTCCGGTCAGAGATCATTTTTATTTGTTCACAATTTTGGACTTTAATTGAATGTTACGATTTAGTTTGTGTTCATATTTGGAAATATCTCTAGAGTAAATTAAAAGTTTAATTAAAACTTTCAGTAAAAAAACATACGACTGTAACGTTTGCTTATTTTAAAAACAGTTTATTTAAAAAAAAAGTTTATTATTTATAATTTATTTACATACAATAAACAATGATTAATAATTTATTTATACTAAAATACTTAAGCTGATCTATATTTCAATTTTATTTATACTTAAGTTGGAACCATTTGGAAAAAATGTTATTATTGATTTTAGGAAAAAAAGTTGTTCTTAATAAAAAGTCCTGCATGACCCAAAACTTAAAATGCAGTCATCAGATATCAAATTTTTCAAGCCGTATACGAGGTTTGTCAAAAAATATGAATTTTGCTCAAGAGTAAAGTGCATTTATTTTTGACAAAATCGAAAATTTTCATTAAGAAAATTGCTAAATTCTTCACAAACATCGAGAAAAGGAAAGCGCATCATGTTTATAGTAGAGAAGAAAGAGAATGTTTCAAAAGCTAACGTAATTTATAACGTTTTGAGATATTTACAATCAATATGTAGAAAAGTAAGAAAATCTGTTTTTTCAGATAGATCGGTGTAATTGCATATTTGAATTTAATTTTCATTTTTAATCTACTTTTCTTAATGAACATTTTTGATTTTGTCAAAAATAAACGTACTTTACTCTTGAGCAACATTCATATTTTTTGACAAACCTCGTATACGGCTTGAAAAATTTGATATCTAGTAACTGTATTTTAAGTTTTGGGTCATGCAGGACTTTTTATCAAGAATAACTTTTTTTCCTAAAATCAATAATAACAGTTTTTCCATATGGTTCCAACTTAAGTAGACACACTGTATACTAATTTGAATGTCTGTCTTCAACTTTTGTCTACACACGACAGCATATAGCTTATTTATACAAAAATGCTGCGCACCGCACTAGTACTCGAAGTTTCCAGATGATTTTTCAATACGATATTGTCCTCTTCCCTGCATCGTGTAGAATTTAGTTGGCTTTGGCAACTTGAGAACATTCATGTAAGGCGGACTGCCAGACTAGCTGACAACACGGAGGTAGGAGCAGACTGGCTAAAAACAGTTGGCACGCCAAGTTATTAGCATTATTCGTGGATTATACGCGAATCTTCAACTCTATTGACCATCAATATTGGAGTTAGCGTCAGAACTATATCTCTACTAAGAAACATCTATAAAGTGACTAAATTAAAAATATGTGCGGGGGTATTTCAGGGTGACTCATCCTCTGCTATTCAGACTGTTTTTATTTACATGAAAAATGCACTATATTTCACAAGTGTAACACATGCCTTAAGTTGCAACGAAAATGAATTACTTGTGTGGTTGAAATATATGTGTCAATATTTTTTCTGCATTCCTTAGTTTTGGCTTCTTATACAAGATTAATATAAAAAGTGAGGGGTTCTTTGAAGAATCTATCTGCATTTGCGAAATGATGTAAAACCCTCCTCGTTACCAGGGGGCCCCAAATGAAGACAGACTCTCTAATTTAGCCCCAATATTCATTGAAAAACAGCTTGTTAAACAGTTATCAGAAAATCCAAAATTTTACGATGATGTTATAGACAAATTTTCAGCCATTGAGGATAGGCGAATAGATCTTAAGTATAAATAAATGTCAACTGCTGTGTCAACTGTGCGAAAAATGTTGGAAAAATAAAAAAAAACTTCAGTTAAATGTTTTTTTTGCGTTTAAATAAATCAAGGAAGTTTTTTTATCATGGTATTGTATTTTATTATATTAATTTCCTAAATATTTCAAAATATTAAAAAAAAAACATTTTTGCCTCTGTATCCGCTACCGCTTCCATAGAAAGTTGCAGCGCCCACTGGGGGTGGTATCTCCCCCGTTAAGGACCTATGGTTAAAAGAGTTTAATAACTATTAATGTATTAATGTGGGATTTGTTATATATGCGATTAATTTTTATATGGGACTTTTTATGTGGGATTTATTTTATGTGGGGTTAATTTTTCTGTGGGATTGATTTTATGTGGGATTATGAAAAATTATCTCTGATCAGAAACGAAAGATATAGGCACAGGTTAAGAATAAAACTCCATTTTTACTATTCTGAATTATATATTTATTTTTTTCAGATACTACAAGCCTTTGTATTTAATTATGGCCATTGCTCTCCCAGTATATATTCCGGTGCTCGTATGGGGTGAAACCGTATGGGCGTCTACCTTCACTTCTTTTTTCTTAAGATACGTGTTTCTTTTACATCAGACGTGGTTTGTAAATAGTGCCGCTCATCTTTGGGGTACAAAACCATTCGACAAGTAAGACGATTCTCTTTTTACTAATATTTTTTTGATTGAGTTGTGAATTATGTTTCTGTCTGCCCTTATAATAGTTACCTATACATACACGTGTTTAACTGTAATTTATGCATAGGATAAGGAATAAAGGCCCTGAAATGGATCCTTGAGGGGTATATGACACCTGTACATTTCTTTGATTTGATACCATTATTTTTTGAAAATTAAAGAGACATAATTTTGTAAAAGGAATAATCTTTTTTTGACGATAAACGTGATAGAAACATAATTTTATATTAAACTATTTTTGCTTAGGGTTTTGTATGAGTACGAACATTCAGTTCATTCGCCTAATATCGATTACTAAGAAAATTAATTTGTTTCTTATAGATATCTGCTGCCGGCCGAGAACAAGTTTGTGTCTCTTGTATCGGGAGGCGAAGGCTGGCACAACTACCACCACACTTTCCCGTGGGATTACAGGACATCAGAATTCGGAGCTTCATACAATGTCACCTGTTCTTTGATTGATTCTTGTGCTTACTTGGGTATGGCTTTCGATTTGAAAACGGCTCCATTCAAGATGATCGAACAGAGAACTATAAGAACTGGAGATGGTTCCCATCCTATTTATGGAATGAAGAAGGTTAAGACATACAGGTGGGTCTTTGATTTCATTATGAGCGATTCGTTTTCAATTTAATCGATCATGCATCTCTTGGGGTTTAGAACAACGGTTCCCAGGTATTTCTCTTCTAAAAAACTGGAATAAATTGACGAATCACCGTGTACTCATGATTAACAATAAAAAAAATAAAAATGAAACATTCCTGCAAGCAACTTTTAAATTCATAAATGATTATTATAATGCGAAGAGTCTCTAGGCAAAATGGCGGCATCCAACATCTAATGATAAACAACACATGGATGGCTACAGTATAAAATAATAGATAAAATAATAATTCTTTATCTGACGATTATATTACAGGCACACGCAATAATCTAAAAATAATTAAAATTAATCGTCAATACGGCAAAAAGAACAAATTTTAATTTAATTGATAAACGATAAGATAAACGCCACTGGTGAAGCAATAGAATAACTTTTTCGTCTAAAGTATGTGGTTTTATATCCTATTAACCCTTTCGATCCCGACTTTTTTGTTCAAGAGTAAAAAATTTGAAATTTGGCCTAATAAATACTTAACACGTTGACTCACACGATGAGATAAAAAAATGATCTTTTTTGTGCCAAACTACTAAATAAGTGAAAAATATATCGTTTAACATTTTAAATAGTTGTTTTCCAATTTTACACTGTTTTTTTAGGTTTTTAATAATTTTTTGGCATTTTCACTTTTGAGAAGCAAGTATGCACCACGTGGCCCAAATAATAATTGCTACTTTACGTGGCCGTGTGGTGCACACTTGCTTCTCACGTAAACAAAATCGTGTCGCGACTCGTTTGTTTTAGCTTTTCCGATGCCGTACACTTGCGCGGTTTTTCATTTTTCAGTGTCTAATCAACTGTTGCACCATAAACAATGTCGTACGAAAGTGAAAGGGTGCGTCTTGAACGTTTGATGGAGGAATTTCTATCGGACGAAGACAGTGATGATTGTGTACGTGATAAAAACTATACAGCCTCAAGTGACGATGACAGTTCCAGTGATTCGTCAAATGATATTCCACAAATAAAGAAACCCAAATTATTCTTAAGCAACAAAGATATGCCCTCGTCTTCAAAAAATACGGGCGGGAGTTCTAGAATAGACGACATAATTGAAGCCGTTATATTGCAATATCAAATCGTGGAGGAGGAAAATTCTTCAGAAGAAGAATTGGGTCTGACCAAGGCGAACCACTGTCATGGAAAAAAGTTGATGGCCAGAAGTTACACAATATTCCCTGTAATATTTAAGATTCGGGTTTCAAAAATGAATATTTTGAAATGTTTGATAACAAACCTCACAATGTTTTTCAACCTTTCGTGGACGATGATATTTTGGAATTAATCGTTAAAGAAACCAACAGATACGCTTGTCAAAAAATTACTAAAGGTGGGCACGGCCCAAGAGCAAAAATAAATAAGTGGACCAATACAAAGAAGAAATAAAAACCTTTTTTTCTATACTTATATGGATGGGACTAAAAAAGTTACCAAAGTTGTTACTGGCTAATTTACACTTTAGTGATAACGAAACCAGTGACAAACAATTGAGACTCTATAACATACTTTTATTACTATACGGTGCAAGAGAGAGGTCCGACACGCCCAACATAGGGCGCGGCCATTTTAATGCCTTTGCCACAGTTTATAGTAGGGTTGTAACGGAGGCCTTCTTAGCGGAGGCGGAGGCGGATGCGGAGGTTAACGGAGTTGGAGGCGAAGGTAAAAGTGGATATGGAAAAATATTAATTTATGGTTTATCAAAAGTAAAAAATCTTTATTTCAAATAGGTTTATTGTTAGTACACTTTAATAAACATCAAAACTAGAAATCAAAATAACTAGTAATCACAATTAAGGAGAGGCAAATTATATTTTACAAATAACAGTTTTGCGGCTTTGTCACCTTCCAGGCGATTTCTAAGAGGATCATAAATTAAGCCAGCTGAACTAAATAATTGTTCACTTGGCACTGAACTGGGCGGCGCCGATAAATACGTGCGAACGATGGGAAAAAAGCATTATATTTAGTAGTATTTCTCCACCACAATAAAGGGTCATCAAATGAGTCGATTTTCTTTATTATATTCACTAATTAGCTCACGCGTTTTTGTACCGATTGAAGTAAATACATCTCCGTTTTAACTCCGCAAATATTTGACGGAGGCGGAAGCGGAGGCGAAGGTAGAATACGATTTCTTGCGGAACTTCCGCAGTAACGGAGGTGAAGGCGAAGTTCCGTTACAACCCTAGTTTATAGCTAAAGAATCAGTTCGCTAACTTTGCGTCGGCACTTTTGAACTCAATGTTCCAGTTTATACACTGCGCAACTCGGATAATACAATATAAGACAACCGCCTATAATAAAACAGCAATCTTCTGCGCATCCTGAATTTGTATCCCTGGAGTGGATGTTATTTTGGAACTTTCAACTGGTCCGAGTGAGCTAACTGATTTTTTAGCAATAAACTGTGACTCCAAAAATAATATTCACTGACACTGACAGCAGCAAGCAAAATATTGAAAATATTGCGCCAAGATGTAGTCAACACGTAATAAGGCATCAAAATGGCGAAGTTTTCTATCTCCTTTTAAAAGGCACTCAGAAAGCTGCGCAGTGCGACCATTCTCCGTATAGTAAGAGAAAATCAAAGTATGTGCTGACACCACTTTTGGAGAAAGTCGTACCAAACTTCAAAAAAGTGATAGTGCCTGGTGACAGTTTGTATTGACGAGACCCTATCGTTTAGGCAGTACATAAAAAAAATACAAACACAAGTTTGGCGTCAAATTGTATAAACTTTGCTTGAATGGAGGATTTACGTATGATCTGAAAATATATAGTGGCAATGACAAAACTGAAAATCAATCGGTTCCGGACCGTGTTGTTTTTGGTTCATCTAATGACTTGTTAGATTCTGGCCGTACAATATATACGGATAACTTTTACACGAGTGTTACACTAGCGCACAGTTTACTAAAAAAAAAGACACATTTGGTGGGAACTTTGAGGCAGAACCGGAGGCATAATCCAAAAGAAGTGACAGAAGCAAAACTAAAAAAAGGAGAGATAATTGATGTAATAGTAAGTAAATGGAAAGACATAAGGGATGTATTGATGCTAAGTAACAAACACAACCTAGAAATGGTGGACGTTCGTCAACGAGGTGGAGTAGTACAAAAGCCATCTGCGATTGTTGACTACAATAAAAGCAAAGGTTTCATAGAAATTTTAGACCAAATGAAGTCTTACTTAACTGCATTACGAAGGTCTGTGAAATGGTATCGCAAGATAGCAATTAAACTTCTTTTGGGATCAACAATAGTGAACGCCTATACAGGGTGTTTATTAATTGAGTGCCGATACTAAAAGGTGTGAATCCTTGGATGATTTTAAGAAGAAAAGTTAATATCAACATATGTCGTAAATCTCTTAATTTTTGAGCTACAGTTTTAAGAAAAAAATACTTTTTTTTCATAATTTTCTTATCACTGCAGATATTTCTATGAAATTTTGTAAACACCTTTTAATCATTAAGGAGCATTTTTAGACGTATAAGATTTTTTTAAATTTTTACCAGTGACTTCCGTACGGGGTTTGAACTGAATTTTTTTGAAGAAAAAAATGGTACGCCACTGCTTTTTCTAAAATCCAAAATTATTTTTGAAATATTCATTTATTTTTGAGCAAATTTGGCCCATAGACTTGCTTTCGTACGATGCACAAAAAAATAAAAACCAAATTTTTTTTTTCTTAAGCTGCTTTTGAAAAATGTTTCCACGCATGGTGGGTGCCTACCAGATTTCAACAAAATATCAAAAGCAGTAGCTATCAATGAATTTAAGGAAAAAATTTGACCAACCACTACAATGGTTTTTATTTTTTTACGCGAAAACGGTGCATCGTACGAAAGTAAGTCTATGAGCCAAGTTTGCTCCAAAATAAATGATGATTTCAAAAATAATTTTGGTTTTCAGAAAAAGCAGTGGCGTACCATTTTTTTCTTCAAAAATATTCAGTTCAAACCCCGTACGGACGTCACTGGTAAAAATTTAAAAAATCTTATACGTCAAAAAAGGCTCCTTAATTATTAAAACGTGTGTATAAAATTTCATAGAAATATCTGGAGTGATAAAAAAATTATGATAAAAAAATAATTTTTTTCTTAAAACTGTAACACCCTGTAGCTCAAAAATTAAGTGAGTTACGACATATGTTGATATTAACTTTTATTCTTAAAATCACTTAAGGATTCACACCCTTAAGTATCGGCACTCAATTAATAAACACCCATAATGCATCAGAAAATCAACAACCAGAAAATGTCTATCGTTTTCTTCAAAGAGGATCTAGTCAGCAATTTTCTAGACCTTCCTAATCTTCAAAATATTGATACGCCTAGATCACGCACTCGCGATGGTCATCATTTAGAAGAAGTTCACTCTACAGCCCGCAGAAGATGCGTGACATGTTACACAAAATTTTCTTTTGAAAATAAGCGAAAATTTGCACAAAACAGAACGCCTTTTTCTCGCTTCAGGTGCATTAAGTGTGACACATTTTACTGCATTACGTGTTTTTGTAATGTTCATAGCTGCAATATATAAGCAACCATTTTCTTATTAGAATTTAATTTTTTTGTTTTTTCAATTATACTTATCAAAAAATAAAATTAGAAGCGTCTTTTAGGTTTTGTTGTTTTTGTAATGACTTTATAATAATCTAGAACAAATAAATGTCATACAGAATAATTAGTTGTTTTACTCGACACGGGCTATATGCAAAAAATAGTTCCCCAGGCCACCAAAAAACATACCCCATAAGCTTATACCGCTACCGAGAAGCAGTGTTGTACCACACACGCCGATATTTTATCAAAGCTTGAAAAGCAACGATGCTTCTCACGGCCTAGGTAAATTAAAGTTCTGTGAAGCACACGTGCTTCTCAAGGCAGTCAACGTGTTAATTTATTTTGTGATTTTTAGTTTTTGTCCCATGTTCCTATTTTTTTTTATTTTTGAGTTTTGATATGTGCACTACAGTGTACACTGGGATCTAGAGGCGTAAGTATGTATACACTATAGTTAACGCTGGGAGATATAAATTTGTATGTCTAAAATAACTAAATATCAGTATTTTACTCTTTACTATGTCATAATATCACAACAAAAAAATTAAATCAAAATTAATATATAAATTTATTTTTTGGTATGAAAAATAAAGCAATTTTGTTTCACAAGTTCAAACAATTTCTCAAATTTTAATATTTTTTTACTCATATTAATGAACTGTAACAAAAATATAAATATTCTTCAATATAACAAATAAAAATAACAAAAAATAAGGGTACAACTTAGAGTATAAAATTTCTTCACTAAAACTCAATGTGCACTGGAGTGTACAAGACGGAAGAAAAAGTGAACAAACTTTTAGTCCTGCTAATTTACCACACGTTTTCTAGACACTGCAACAAATAATTTTATGTAGCTAATATAACGTGTTTTCAGTAAATCATGTAAGTACGTTGCGACATCTACACGATAATTTCCTTACTCTTCGCTTGCCGCTGACAAAAAACTTTTTTCTACGTTCATGCAAAAAACAAAACTTTATTGAACTATATTTAGTGAAAAAACTGGTTACAGTGTTAAAAATACAAAAATAAGGGAAAATCTCATTACAGTATGTCCATGGTATTCAGCAATACTATCTAGGCGTATACTTTTTTAAATTGTTTCGTCCGTAAAACTTTAAGAAGTTCTTCTTTCTTATAGCTGTCTTGAAAATATAAATCATTGTCCATTAAAAAAATTTGTATATCCGCTTTCGCCATCGTGTTGAATGTACTCGTAAACAATCTGCGTCTTGACTAACTCGTCCTAGTCCGCTCCTGCCGGTTGTATTTCCGGCCACCTGCACTGAAATGAGTAAGAATCTTTTAACTGCTGGCGGGGCCAGAATTTTTTTAATTTTTTTTTTGTTTTTTAATTTTTTTTTTGTTCAGAAAATATGAAAATTGAATAAATACGATTATTGTTGATTATTTTTTAAATACATTTTAATTATTATAATAATAACCTGGTTTTACATTTTTTGATGAAATTATTTTGTGGTCGTAGGAAAAATATTGTACATCACTTGTGTGAGAAGTGATTTTCTACACTCGTGTGATAGTTGCATTCGGCATGTGCCTCGTGCGACAATATTTCCCACTCGTGTGAAAAATGTCACTTTCCACACTCGTAATGTAATATACTATTTAATACCAATATTTTATAAATATCTAATTACATGAATAAATGAAGGTTTTCTTAGAAAACTAAAGACCTTTAATGCGTTTGTTTAAGATAGGGCATTGGTGTTTTAAAGTAGGGGATTGTCCCTATGTGCCCCCCTTTGGCTACGGCCCTGATCGTACGATATGTACTTGTTACGATGTTTAGGATATAAAATTCCGCCATTACAACATTTTTTTTCGCGAATCCTTTTGTACAGTTTGTATAATTACAAATCACAGAGCAATTCTATATAATAATTTTTGCTTTCAGGTGGGAAGATCGTAATATAAATGAATTGGAGATCGACGAAAAAGTGAATTGAAAATAATTTTAATTTAACATTATGTATTATAAAATTTACATCATTTAAAAAAAATGTATTTTTTATACCTGCGACTTTGACACCTTTATAGTACGTTGAATTGATGAAATTTTTATCGTTTCTAAAACTATTATTAAACGACAATTAATACTAAGTATGTACCTATATAAGATAACAAACTAAATTTTAAAATTTGCCATTTAGGTTAAAATACGTTACCTATAAAATTGAAGCACCTAAAAATATTTATTGTTTCTAGATGTTAACAATCTTTATGTATTATACAGTATGAAACATTTTTGAGGTACCGTGAATTAATATTATTGCCATAAGTAATGAAATAGAAAGAGAATAATAATACTCTCCCTATAATTCACCATTTATGTGTGAATTTGAACCTCAGTTAGTGCGGTGAAGGGACGCTTATTATTATTATCCGCATCAAGAGAAAATAAATTAATACTAATTCGTCACCCATCAAATCCTAAAACGAATCCTACAAATTCACATGGTTTGGTCTAGGATCTGAAGCAGAGTCTCGCTGAATCACCAAAAAGCCCGTTAATAAACACCGGTCACTTGAAACGATGTAAACCTACGAATTTTCTCTTCAATTTTACAGGTAATCCACCATTGTTTGCTTTGAATTTACTGGGTGATAATTGTAATATGTGATAATAAAAAAAATCAATTATATGTTGTTTTTTTATTATCCTTTTTCTAAAAATTTTGTCAAGGAAATTGCAGGGAGGAAGAAGAAATAGCAACGCCAGAACAATCGCACAATGTACCGAAGTTAAGGACTAATGATGTAAATGATAATGTAAAAGGAGCAATTAGAAACGTATTATATGATACGAAAGTAAGTTGTCAACACGTTACAATACAGAAATATTAAATGTAGAATTGGGATGGATTTTCAAGGTTCAAAAATTAAATTTATTTTAAATAAAATATAATTTGTCAATTGTTTTAAAATGTTTTCATAAAAATATACCCTGTATAGTCAAAATACATGATATGGTAAGCAATCAAAAGACTTATAACAGGTTCACTAACAAAAATTAGACAAAACACAAGTAAATAATATATTATAATTTGCAATAAATAATAAGAGAAAAAATTGTCTAAGGAATAACATAGTTTGTCTATTATGAATTTTTCATCATGTAATATGGTAATACATAAATGCGGATTTGCTTTTATACTATTCTAGTGGTATTGAACTAGTTTCTGAATACAATAAACAGTAGAAAAAAATTCAGAAAATAAAAAATTATTTCAAAAATATTTAATTTTAGCCCTAATAGCGCAACCTACATTATATTAGAGATGTGCGATTCCTGTATTTTTAAGTTCACGTGCGTTTATATAGATGGCGCCACCTGAAATTGTAATGTATACATCAAGCAACGTTGTAATATTTTAAAGAAGTAGCGGAAAAAAGGAAATTCTTTGTTTTACTATAAAAATTATGTAAATATACAGTGTGTTAAATCCGGTTTTGGAGAAACAACAAAAATATCTAAACCTTTTAGAGAGATTTTTTAAAAATGATTCATTTATTTGTCAAATAATAAAAACAATTTAAATAAAATGTGTTTTTCGTGCTAGCGCAGGCGAAATTAAATTTCCAGTTCGTTGCTCATAGCCAATAGCCGTCAAACTGTCAAACCAAACGTCATTTCCATATTTTACATTTCTAAAATACGACATTAAAAGATTATTTTTTTATCAAAAACCGCCTTAATTTTTAAGAAAACACCAAATATGTACTTATATTATTCAAGATATATATTTAACACTCATTATACAGTTTTTATTATTCAGATAAACAAGTGAAATATAGATAAGTAAAGGGCGCCGTTTAATATAAGCTTTGTTTAAAGCCAGTAAGTACATTGTTGTGATCTCCATGGTCGTATAAAATAATTTTTTCATCAGAATCCAAAAAATTGTTTTGTATATATTTTATCAAGGACAAATTTAAAGAAAAATACAATTCAAACATAAAATTTTATTTTTCAAAAAATAAATTCTGCTATTTTTTATTCAAATGTAATAAACGATATTTATATGAAAAATTAGGCTTCAAATAATTACACTGTTAATTATGTTTATAATGTATACATGCTTATTAATAATTATTGTCCTATCCCCCGAAGGTGTCAATCCCTCGACACCAACGTTTTGCCGTCCTACTTTCCTACCTTTCTACGTCCCAACGCTATCACTTCTAACACCACTTTAGTATTTCCTACCATTATATTCATCTCGACGCTCAACATCCAGACGTCCTACTTCCCTACATTTCTACGTTTCGAAAGCTGTCACGTCCCGAACCACCCAAGTATCGCCTACCTTATATCTATCCCGACACTTAACGTCGCACCGCTCTACTTCTCGACGCTTGTTGTCCCTAAATATTTCCTTGGCGATACCCTTCGTTGCGTAGCACCATTTAAGTATTTTCTACCGTATATCTGTCCTGATGCAGTACCTTATTAAATACCTTCCTGTTCACCACGACGCTAGGTGCCTCGACGCTAGGCGACGCTCAACGCAGCGACGTACATAAATTGACGCAGTCACAACGCTAGAAAAAATTTGTACATAATGTCTAGTATAGACGAATCTAACGTCTGTATGTTTAATGGTGAGTCAAAAGATTTATGTAACTTTTTTTGAGATACCACCGGGGTTTCGTTTGAATAAGGGCCTGACATTTTCTTCAAAATATTGTTACGCAGCACCCTGTAGCGTGCTGCGGTCGTCATAAGTTAAGGTACGTGTAAATAAAGAAGATAGAATATTCCAGAAATGTCTCGAAATGTCATTTCTTGTTAAAGAAAAGTCCGGATTGTTCTAGAAGGTTTTAGAAGGTCGAGGCAAGCTATATAAGTCGACGACCTGACGTCAGTTTTCAATTTTATGATAGACGTTACATGTTAATGTTATCAGTTGTATGGTTATTGTTAAAGTTGAATTGAGTTATTGTAAAGTTGAATTGAAATAAATTGAAATACCAAAAACCAGCGTAACATTGGTGACAGCGGTGGGATATAAAGTAAAAGTTCATGGTAAATACTAGGTCCACTGAGTACGAAGCAGGCATGGATACCTCAGGCCCACCAGCATGGTTTTTGAAGATGGAAGAGGAGAGAGTAAGGCGAGAAGAGGAAAAGGAAAGGCGAGACGAGAAAAAGGAAAGGCGTAGGAAGGAAGAAGAGGAGGAAAAGGAAAGGCGTAGGAAGGAAGAAGAGGAGGAAAAGGAAATGCGTGGGAAGGAAGAAGAGGAGGAAAAGGAAAGGCGTAGGAAGAAAGAAGAAGAGAACAGGGAAAGACGAGAAGAGGAGAAGGAAGAGAGACATACAAAAGCTCAGGTAGAAATTATGAATGCTTTGCTAAAAATCCAGAAAACCTTTAAGCAAGAGATTGGTCAGCTCAAAATTAGAGTAGATCTTTTAGAACAACAACAAGAGCATTTAAAAACTAATTTAGAACAGCAGCAAGTGAATTTAAAAACCAATTTAGAACAATAACGAGATAATTTAAAACAACAAGAAAAGGCTAGGGTAGAGTTCGAAAGGCAAATTAGAACTGAACTAGTTGAGTTAGGAAGAATAATTCGTAGCCTAGCTTCGATAAGCAACAGAGAAGCTAAAAACACTACCTCGTCCTCATCTGTAATCGAACCAAGCCATATTCAACACCCAGTTTCACAAATTCATACTAGCAAGATCATTAAGCCACCCACGTTTGACGGTCAGACAACATGGGAAACGTATCGCCTCCAATTTGAAGCTGCAGCTAGAGCCAATGGCTGAGCTGAAAAAGAGAAGGCGGCTGCATTGATAGTGTCGCTATGAGGACAAGCAGCAACCGTTTTACAGTTACTCCATCAAGCAGAACCCAGTTATTCATCTCTCGTTCAAGCTTTGGAGACAAGATATGGCCAGCAGCATTTGAAACGGGTATTTCAAAGCCAGCTAAAGATTTGTAGTCAGAAACATAATAAGAAACTACAGGAATTCAGGGCCTATCATCAGGCGCGCAAAGATTTTCAAGAACAAATTGGAATAGAGACATTCATTCATGGACTACAAGATGCGGAAATGCAGCAAGTCCTTCGTCTACAACATCACAAGACGCTGAATGAGAGAAATTAAATCCCAGGAAAGTAAGGACCCCAATGCTAATGCTATTCCCCAACCTACCCTCTCGCAAATGTTAAATGTCCTGCAAAATATACAACGAAATAGCAAAACTAAGCACAGAAGATGCTCCAATTGTGGAAGAATCGGGCATCTTCAAAGAACCTGTAGAAAAGCTCGTTCTATAAATAGAGAATCAGGAAATGAGGCAGGAAAGTCACAAAGATCAATCCTTCGAAGCCCGTCACGAAGTCCAACAAGAAATGGTCACATCAGCTATGCGTCCCGAAGTAGCCAATCACCCACACCCAGCCGGTTTTCTAAACGGCCTAAGTGGTTGTGTAAATAGTGTATTTTTATACTCATGTTGCACCCTAAGGATTTGAAACTATTAAGCATCTTGTTAACCATTTCAACATAGTTTTGAGCTTTATATTGGCCTAGAAAATTTTCTACAACTGCATCAAATGATAAGTTTTTTTATTTGTAGAAACAAAAGAATAGCAAATATATATTTTTATTAATAACTTGGAACAAGTTTAACAAAGACTATAATAATAAAGTAATGAGTCCCTCCTAAAAATATTAATATTTTGCTTTATTAGTCAGTTGCTGCCTACGCCTTGGCTTCATCAACGCAAATTTAATAATGATTTTGTCATGATCAATGTCAATTTCTTTATGAACATTCAACAATGCCAAGCCACTAAATCTTTCCTGCAATATAGTTGAACGTAGATACGTTTTAAGGCGTTTGCTTGTTGAGAAACTCCTCTCAGGTGTTGCAGTTGTGACAGGAAGTGTGGCAAAGATGATTAAAAGGATCCTGATTAGCGGAAAAAAATCGGTGCAGTACATTAATGCTTCCACTGCTGTACAAGGACGAATAACAGTTGTTTCGTCTTCCCATCTTCTATGCCACATCATTATTTCAGCCCTAAGCTGATTCTCACATTTATGTCGGATTCATAGAACATAGCTGCTTTAACAATTTCGTCTACATGATATTTTGAAGATTTTGCAGGAATTAATCCATCTAATGGAATAACTTCTACCAATCTATCGCAAAACCTTGATTGTAGCTCTTCTATGAAATGGTCCAGAAATGGAATAAACATAGACCGGCGAAAATATTCATTCGTAGTGGATGCTTCCACATTACTTCTTTGAGTTTGTCTTCCACATATTCTGAAAATAAATGAATAATGAATGTGATTTACTTATTGGCAATATATGACATTATTTTACCTGGGAATTTTAATTTCTATCCCAAGACGTTTTGAAAAGTTTTCGAGGTCATAAAATATTTTGTTGAATATTTCTTCGGATTTAGATCGTACGTCCTTAAATGTGCTTATTAGAGTTTTAACATTCTCCATAGCTGCTGAAATCCAAATTCTTACTTTGAAGGATAGTGCTTAAGGTGACTGAATATTCAAACAAATAAGCAGTAACCCACAGGAAAACTAGAAAATCGCTTCTTTTTATAAAAGAACTATAGCACATTGCATTTCGTGAAGTTTCAGTGTCTTTGTCGTTTTCTAATTGTTGTAGGGCTATGACAATAACAGGTAATAATTGTTTAAAAGTAATTAATGTATCGTGCCTTTCAACCCAACGTGTTGCACAGAGTGGTTTTAGTTTTCTTCTATTAGTTTCTGAGATTGCTTCTTGTTCGTCGATTATTTCATTCAACATATTAACGCGTTTTGCAGAACCACTTAAAAATGTAGAAACACTTCCTACAATTCCCATCGCATTTTTTATTGCGCTTAAATCGCATGATTTGGAAACAGCTAAATTAAGGGAATGGTTGAAACAATGTGTGTATAAGGCCAACGGTTGCTCTTTTCGGATCAGTGCTTGAACGCCTAAAAAATATTATATAATAATCAATCATTATCTTTTTTTTTATTTTAAGCTTACCTTTAAAAACCCAGACATATTTGCAGCCCCATCATAACCTTGACCTCGAAGTTTTTCCAAGCTCAGTCCCATGTTTGTTAGTTCCTGAAATAATGTGTCCGTGATGGCTTCAGCTGTGGTTGACTTCATTTCCATAAAACCAAAGAATTCCTCACGAATCACGAAAGACTGCATATCCACATATCTTAGATACATTGTTAACTGCTCTTTTTAGGCGTGTTTACCGGGCACATGGGGGGGGCTTAAGCCCCCAAAGCCCCTCCCCCCTTGGGACCGTCACTGCTGAGACGCGATTAAAGGTGCGCGGGCGTAGGTCAAGAAATTCGGAAAAATTTGTGGAGCGCTGTTATACCTAATTAAATGTTCAAAAAAATATTTATAACCGAATTTTTCTTGAATCGTATGCTAGATTACTTCGCTAATAATGAAAAACCGATTCTTATAGTGGATTTTTTGCAATAAATTAATGAAAAATTTTTACTAAAAAAATTTATATTAGGTACCTTTTCGGCATGAAGTCTTCAACAGATGCTAGGTATTTTTTTACACAAAAAAATTAAAACGGCAATAAAACAGAAAAAAACTGTGGATTTCCATTTTTTCCAGCTAATCACCACGAATTTTTTTTGATGTAAGTTGCTATATTCAAGGCCAAACAAATGATTACATTTATGTAAAAGTATAGTTTTTTTAAGTATAATAATTGCACGTTTTTAATTTAAAATTACTGTTTATTTTCTATTATTATTGTTTATTGACAAAATAATTGTTATAATAAAGCTGTGGAATTAAAACCATTGTAGAAAATGTGGTATTCCGCAAATCATACGCAATTCTCACTCGCATGTGAATAAATTAATCGAGATGAAGTGTCGACAATTGTTATTTGGAATATGTAACATTAGAGGGAGTTATGGTGAGTTTCATTTACTTTTATATAAAAATTTTTTTTACGGTTAATGGAACGGCCTTACACATGAAAGGCTTCAATTCATTTTTATTTTATTAGAAAAAATTTAAGTCTAAACTATTAACTTTCATAATGGTGTTCCCTATAAGTAGTTAGGTTCTTAACTATTAAGAAGTTTTGAATTATTTTGATTATTATGTTCTACATAATTTCTTATAGCTTTAAAACGAATTGCACTTTTTTGATCTGAAATATTTAAATAATTTTATTATGATATTTACATCGCTTAAATATATTTCTGGGTTTTTCAAAACTTCCAAAATTCAGAAAATTTTATACCAAATCCCTAAAATGTTGTGCGTTCAGGAAATTTATTTTCATAAAGTTTCTCAGCAGCTGCATAGAGTTTTTGTAGGCTACGAAATAGGTTTCTAATTTGTCTAATTTTTCTCCTTTGGTAAAATTAAGAGCCACGTCTAATGGTCCCCAGCTAGCATAAAAACATCCCATCTACGTTAATAAGCTGCAATTTTAGGTTCTTTAAGCTCGCATGCAATGTACTTTTAATATAACCCTAATATCCCTGCAACATCACACTAGCACGTTTACGGTACTTTCGCTGAAAGTTGCTTTGAAACGTTTTATAAATGTTGCTATGTGAATTCATTCTACAACATTATACAATGTGTCCACGGGTGGACTTAACAATACTTGTAAAAATATTTATTTTAAATTTAAAAAAAGTAATTTTCATAATTTCTTTTGCTTGTTAAATAAGTACGATTAACGTTGAGAAATTATAAAAAAACGACTTTTTTGAAAAATTTGAAATAAATATTTTTACAAGTATAGTTAAGTCCATGCTTGGACACACTATATATAAAATAGTATATGAGGATATAGTAAAATCTGAATAAAACAATATAAACAATTGTATAAATTTATTATTAAAAAGCTTTTGAAATCAAGTACCTATATCACACAAGTAGAGGTAGGTATTAATAATATAGGTATATCACAAAGTGACACCATTACAAATGTGTGATACCATAAGGTATAAAGAGTATATAAGGAATATATCAAAGGTTCACTAGAATCGAAAACACTGAACGATTGCACGAAACAGTATAATATTGCAAAGGTTCACTAGTTCACTAAAATGGTGGACGATTGTACAAAAGTAGTTAAAAAGTGTATAGGCGCTACATTATTTATTACCGTTTGACAGTTTTTATAAAGTTCATCGTATATAGTATTTACATCAATAGAATTTCGGTTCCAATTACATGATATTAAGTCGAGTTTAATTTTATCTAAGTTAATTGTACTAAAGTTTCTATACATTTTAGTGGTTATATTTATGTCTTTGTTGTTATTACTAAGATTAACAGATTATAGAATGGTCACTAATTTTCGGAGTATAATGAACTGTAGTATGACCAAAATTATTATTAACTAATACATAATATATCAAAGTTTTACTATTATTTGTAATTCGTGTAGGCTCAGTGATTAATTCTATATTGTAAAAACATTGCTTTAATTTTATTACTATAAAAACAGTCATTTGTATAATCAAAGTTAAAATCGCCAATTAACAAACAGCGTTGATTATTAGCAAAAATAGAATTACATATATTTTCCAAACTGTACAAAAATACAGCATCAGAACTTGATGGTGAATGGTAGAGACAACCCATTAACCACTGATAACCACTAAGATCAAGTTTTATTACTTTGCACCAATAATTTGGCTCGAGCACAAAGGTCTTAGCAACAGAAAATTTTAAATTATCCTTCACTTAAATTATGACCTCCCCCTGTGCTACAGTTTGAGAAGTTACATCTGATCAGATTATACCCAACGATTTTAATTTCAGATTCTTCAATTTCCTTGGTAATTCTTGCTTCTTGTTGGTGGATCACTGATGTAAATTAAAAAAAAAAAAAAATATTGAGCCCAGTATATAATATTGCATCTAGAAATATCCCCATTTCCCATTAAATAAAAAATTAATTTATAACAGTTTTAAAATATATCACCCATGTATCTATTTGCGGTTCACTTTTGGTAATAACAGTTAATTTTTCAATTTTTCCTTTTCGTATAATTATTGACAAGAAATTCCATAATCAAGTGATGAATTTATGGGAAAATTTCGTTAGCGAGATTCTAGCGATGATTCATTAAAATATATTTCCAATTTGAATTCAAGGATACGAATACCTAGGGTCAAAGTTGACGCAGTAAATAGTTTAGAGGGGTCATTCGAACTAATTTGTGATATATGCCCAACGGAAATGTCAATTTGAGTTGGGAAATTTGTACATCTTCCTGATCAGATTAACATCGGCGCATGGTTAATTTTAAAGTAGACGAATTACAAGGGAGCTACAATTTGGTGTTTAGAAACGGACTTTTTAATCCTCCATATTTATCTACCTATAGAAAAATTCAACGATTTAGAAGAAAATTAGTATTAAAAAACTTATTATTATTATTATTATTATTATTATTATTATTATTATTATTATTATTCTCGCTTAAAAGCGGCAAATAGAATAACTACACATTATTACAAAGTTGCCAAGACGTAAACCACTGAGGTTGTAGGTGTAACAAAAAGGAGGGTTTACAAAAATTTTAAATTGCACTAAAATAAAATAGAAATAAAAATGTCTTCATTTTAATATTAAGTAAAACAAATTAGGATATACTCTGCCAATTTAAAACTTGTGCTCAATATACAGCTCGATATACAGGGTATCAACAATAATACATATTATCTAATTAATATACGTAATTGAAATTATAACAAATAAACATCGCTACTACAAAGTTTCTACAGTAAACGCCAAATCTAAAAAACCAAGGACGCGAATTTAAAATGCTTCGAACACATCTACCGATGAATAGAATTGGTAGCTTACCTAGAAAGTTGTATGTTCAACGATGCCACCTTGTACGATTTCTATGATTCTTTTTTTGTTAGTAAGGGGATACCTCAGGAGTTGTCCCATATAAATTTGGTCAAAATCTAAAAATTGGGTTCATGATAAAATCTTCAAACTCTTCATTTTTTATGTAGGTATGTTTAGCGATAATTCTTTACCACCTTGTCCGATTTCTATGAATCTTTTTTTGTTAGTAAGGGGGGTGCCTCAGGGGTGGTCCCATATAAATTTGTTTAATATCTAATAATTTGGTCCATGAGAAAAATCCTCAAACTCTTAATTTTTTATGTATATTTAGCGATAAAATTTTTCCACCGTGTCCGATTTCTATGATTTTTTGTTAGTAAGGGGGTACCTCAGGGGTGGTCTCATATAAATTTGGATAAGATATGGTGATGCATTTGAACGATTTTGAAGTCGGTTTTTTAAAACTATTTTTAATACTTGTTTCATTGGCTAATGATGTATTCATGTTTTTTTTCATTTGCCACTGTGTAACTGCGAGATAAATATCGATTTATTATAAATGTAGCATTTCTTTCACATTTTCTGGGGTGATCCGGTCCCCGTATTTGGCGAATATGATGACAAATATTTTTTATATTAGTCAAATAGGTACTTACTTTTAATATCAAAATTATACATCGTAATCACTTATTTTTCTCAATTATATTATATTACATCTATTATTAAATTTTATTTTATTTATTTTAAAATGGACAATTTTTTATAATTAAAATATCTGCACTGTTGAATTTCAAATACGAAAACACTAAAATTACAGTAAATTATGATGGATATGGATTCGTAAGCTTTAAAAGATTATTTTAGATGATTAAAAGACTATACATTTTCAACAAACTCGATTATGGTATGTACCAAAATAAAAATCTGATGTGTCCAACACATGACTTTCCTATCTAGTTATTACAGGCTTTTTCTGGTTATTTTGTACAACCTATTTTAGCACCTCTGTTAACTAAATATATCATTTTCCACATATATCTAACTCGAAATATTTTTCTTTATGTATTCATTGCCAACGAAAATACTGAAAAATTAAAATTTTATACTTCCATTATGGTCCATTTTAGAGAAATCATTTAAAAAACAAAAAATAAAGAAATCAATATCGCAAACATCTTTTAGTTTAACAATTTTCTTAAAAATCAGAATTTTTTTAATTTTGTCAAATTTCTCGAATACGGACCATTTTAAGAAAATTTTGTATAGAACCAAAATTATAGAAAATAATATAAGAAGTAACTTTTATGTAAACAATTTTCTTCTCCAAACATAAATAACTGATATATTCCATAAAATATAAAAACGACCTTCTATAAAGTATCCCCCCCCCCAGATGTTCCGTCTCTTAAACTAATGCTTTATTTTATAATATAGGCAAAAAATCTTTAACCAGAGATCATTACGTTAGTTGTAGACAATGGAAACATTTCAGAAGTGTGTAAATGGAATGTTGACATCTGTCACCGCTCCAAAATTTGTAGTTTTTCGGAGCTTACGAGACAAGAAGAAATATTTCCAGTGGCAGGCCGTTTGAATGTTTTACATAGGTATATGATAAATAATATGCATTTTTAATTTCAAAATCCAGCCAAGCTTTTGTAACAGTGTACCCTTGATTAACCCAGGTTTCGTTCACATAGTAAATGTTTTCTCCTCATTGCGATATCTATGAATTTCCTTTACTTGTTTTCTACGCCAAACAATGATTTTCTCTTTTCTTACAATAACGAAAATTTTGCCACCTCATCCACTATATAACCTAGAAAATGTTCACTAGTACCATCCTATATATTTTTCATTTATATTTCATTTTCGAAAAATAATCCTGATTTGCCGACATGTTTTGGTATAGCTAACAATAAATAGGAACTGTTCCATATTAGAGACGATGACATACGTCCATAAACATGACTATGCATTTTCATACCTTGGCATATTGTGTTATTTTGTATTTTTTTATTTGTTAAAAACTGAAAAGCATATGACAACGCCTTACAAATTGAACCAGAGAAGTTAGCACGGATATCAGATGTATTACATACATCTCGGGTCTTATTTAATTAAAAAAGGTTTAAATACCCTGCCTTAAATTAAAATATCATATTTATTTACCTCTGGTAGAAATTACATTAAGTATGATATATAATTATAGTTTTAAGTAAGAATTATTTGTTTTAAACATTTTATTTGTATAATTTTAATTTTTACTTGAATATATGACAACAAGAGGTATATTCTTCGTTATACCGTTAAATGCATAAATTTTCAATTTTATTCCAGTGTACTCCATCCTGAAATGCAATAAATTAACTTTGGCAAACAGATGCAAATGAGAAGCCAGAATTTAATTATTTGTTTTTTCCGCATTTTACTTCATTTATAATTTTCCCACGTTCCAATGTTATAATATGCCTTGAGCAAAAAAAACAACAAATTAATCATGTTCAACATTACAAATTGTTTCTAATATACAGGAAAAGCGGGAAATTTTGTACTATACGAGGGTTGCCTTTTATATTTCGGGATTGGACAACCCTAGTATTGCAAACTGGCAACTGACAGTTCTGTCGTAAAGTTTGACATTTTTGAGGTAATGTGTACTCAGAACGAGCGCTATTTGTGTTGTTTACAGTAACTTAAAAGATTTATCCCGGCCAAAAAAATGGAATTAAATCGTGAACATTTTCGTGCGATTATTTTTTACAACTTTCGACGTGGATTAACTCAGCAACAGTGCATCGATGAACTTAATTCAATTTTTGGTGATGAAGCTCCATCAAGGACCAGTGTTTATCGATGGTATATTGAATTCAATCAAGATCGTAGTTCGCTCCAAGACGAATTTCGTGAAGGTCGTCCAAAATCAGTTGTTGTTAGGGAAACCATTGATGCTGTACGCAAACTGATATTGAAAGATCGTCATGTGACCTATCGTGAGATTGAAACAACCTTAGGCATTAGTGGGATCAGCATACATTCAATATTGCATGAACATTTTACTGTCAAAAAAATTTGTTTGCGTTGGATGCAATGAGGTTGAATTAGGCATTCCAAACTGAATGGCTTCCAGTGGGTTCTGACGGGTTATGATATGGCAAAATTATGGCAACCCTGTAGGCCTGGTGATTTGACAAGGTCAATGAAATAGATAGTTACATAGATTGATCATCCATATATTTCATAATAAACATAAGCTTATGCCTTGAAGTAAAAATGTAAGCAATTATTTTTTTTTAAATATCTAAGGCTAAAAATAGGGTTTAAAACACATTTTTGCTAAACCGATTCAAATTAATAAATATTTGTCAGGCAATATGGCCGCTCGTAAACGACCAGCTCTGAGCAATCTATATAACTATATATGTATCATTGACCCTGTTAATGACAACATGACAACAGGGTTGCCATATCTAAACTGTCATTACCCACTGGTAGCCATTTGGACAGGTCGTTGGAATGCCTGATGACATGCCAAAAAAAACGACACCCCTTCCCCCTCTCTTAGTGGTCATGTCATAGTTGTCAAAGAGCTGTCAGAACTTTCTTCAAATTTAAATATTTCGACGTTATTTCTATCTTAATAAGTGTTTTTTTTTTTATTAATTTTTATAAAAATCATGACTAAGTGTGCCAAAATTATTTGTAAAAACTCTTCAGTGAAAGAGCGTAAGAAAATATCTAATTTAAGTTTTCATAAGTAAGTATAAGGAGTGTACTTAGAATTTTTTTTAGAATGCTTAACTTTTTTTTATTATAGGTTTCCAAAAGACCCACAATATCTCAAAATTTGGTCTAAATTTGTGGGAAAAGACCAATTTGAGCCTAAACCGAATAGCATGTTGTTCTCTATTCACTTCAAGGAAGAATTTTTTGATAAGAGTGAGTTTAGGGTCAGATTAAAGAAGAATGCTGTTCCGACAATAAATGAATGTTTAGTTAGTATACACTTTATTTACA